TGAAAAAGTAAACATATATATGTTGTTCCTGCTTCCTGGTGAGGAAGTTGTATACTTAAACTTAGATAGTGTTGTGAAAAATGATGGGGAATATGTATTTATTTGATGACCTGTACTTTATAAATTTTCTAAATTCAATTTCAATATTAGGCCTCCTAAATCATGAATAAGGCTAAAAGTGGGTACTTTAATTATTTTAATGTAGGATATTGATAAATCTATAGAATCATGCAATGATACACATCTCATACATATACAAATTAGAAAATATATTATTGAGGTTCAAGAAATATTTGGATCAAATGTAAGGATGAAAGTATATATATATATCATGTACTGTTATGTGTCCATTTAATTATAGGTTACCATTTACCCTGATAAGTAGTTAGTTTCCCATAATGTTAGTATTTATTATGACTATTAATAAGAGTGAGGGAAAGAGCCAATATTATGTTGGTTTATACTTTCCTTGTCATATTCTTATCTGTGTCCATAATTATACGTTTTTGTTTCTTATGTTTAAAGTAAGGAGGTTTTGAAAAACATTGGTTCTTGATGAGGATGGTTACTTCACATATAGAGCTTGTAATGTATTTTATATGAAAGTCTTCAATAATTTAATTTCAATAATTATGAATTTTTGTTAATCTACTAATCACATCGCATCCATTTACACTATATGCATTTTTTTTACCATTTGTTTTACTCTATATGCATATTTGATGTTGATGACAATAATTACACAACTCTATTGTGAATATAATGATACGGAGAATGTGTCTATTACAAATTATTCTTTCAAAAAAAATTTTCCTACAAGATTGACACTTATTTATAAAATTATGATATATAACCCATTTATCGCATGGGTATTTTACTAGTTATATTTCATTTGATGGTTTTCTTTCTTCCAATTTTCACTCACCATTCTCGCCTTTTTTGAAATGCTTTGTTTTTTCAAACTAGATTTTGGCCAAATTAATTAGGGAGTAATCTTAGGAATTGATCGAATTAATTATGCAGATGTTTTATGTTTGTATTTTTTGGGGGTAATCTTATTTTGTATATTATTGATTATTTAGTATTATTTTATGTAGCCCTGTATGAAAATATTTTGGACCATAAGAGTATCAAATATAATAAAAGTAAACTTCGTGTAGTGTGATTTGAATGATGCATTAGGCGCGGGAATTGATGGGATCTAGAAATTTCTCAACTTTGTTTATGAAGTAAATATTATACCATCAAGTTATATTTATAATTTCTAATTTTTTTGGAATTAATTATATAAACTGGCTTGAATTGAAATACAATCAAACATATGTTCATCTTAGAAATATTTTCTTTAATCTAATATCCTCGTTTTTAACATGTTTTTTTTTATCGAATCTTTTTTTAACATGTTAATTATTATCATTATCATTTTTATTATATTGTATAAGATTTCAATTTCAAAAGGTTTTTTCATGTATTATTATTATTTTTTTTGGCTAGCATTTTTTCATGTATTATTTAACGCCATATAACAACAATGAAGAAATGCAGCGAAATGCACACAAAAATATATCCCAAAAAATAAAAAGTTGCAAAGCCAACAAAATCGCAAAGCTAACCATTAAAGTAGATAAGCAATTAAAAGATACAAGTAACTAAAACAAATAAAACATAAATTTAAAAATAATAAACAAAATGAGAAAAAAGTTAGGAAAAATGATCATAAAATTTCTCCAAATATATAAATAATAATTTGATCCTTTAAAATGTCATAATTTCTTTAAAGTCCTTAGAACTTTTCTATCACTAATGAATTTATTTAAATTATTAAATTATCCTTAATGAAAATAAATGATTCACAAATTTTATTTAAATATTCATAACTTTACTTCTTATATTCATAACAATGCAATAATAAATAAAAAATTTAACATGCTAAGTGGTGATTTACTGTTATATTATTGTGAATATAAGAAGAAAACTTGTAAATATTTAAACAAAATTTATGAATCATTTATTTTCAACAATGATAATTTAATAGTTTATATAAATTTATTAATGATAGAAATTTTTTTAAAAAATTTAAAAAAATTATGACATTTTAAGTTATTAAATTTTCATTTATATTATTTTAAAAAAATTATTATTATTTTTTAAGTTATTTGTCCTATAAAAAAGGCGAGACAATGTCACCACAGTCATATCATAAAGGCAAAAGCAATGCAATGTTTGGGCTGGAACTAAAAGGTTCAAAACAAATTGAAAGTCAAACCCAAACAACACATTAATTAAACCAGATCCTGTAACAATATATTTACAAAATAACTAAATGCGCCCTAACCAGTAGAAAGATGACAGCTAATTGTTACTGTCAATTTACTGTAGAAAAAACAGTAACGAACAACGCAAAATGTAAGATGTTATCTCTCTCATTTCATTCCTATTCAGGCTAATTAGATATTCCGTGATGGTTGTTACTCTCATCAAGTACATCTTCAAAGGCCATCAAGCCTCCTTTGCCTTCTTTCTTTACTCTCTCAAATGGACTTATGATTAGTGGGTGTAAAATTAAGAGATTGAGGGACAGTCATACATATATCAATACCACACACATGCTTTTTAAGAGAGAGAATGATAGATAGATTTTAAAAAAATTAATTAATTTCAATTAAGTTTTAATTAATTTTAAAATGTCGAACTTCATGAATTTGTAAGTGCTGCTCTCAATTTTACAATTTTTTTATTATAAATTTATAACTTATATTTTAAATTTTAATAAAAAAATAAATTTATTTATTCTTAATCATATTAAAATTAAAAAAATAAGTTATAAATTCATCACAATAAAATTATAAAATTAAAATTTAAACTTGTAAGTTTTTAAAATTTAATACTTTAAAATTAATTAAAATTAATTTAAATTAACTGATTCTTTTAAAACCATACCTTATTCTTCCATTCTGGAGACTGAAATCAATGTAGGTCCCACTTGATTTTGTAACAATGTTATAGACGTGAAACAACATGTACGAATACGTATCATACTTTGGTGTGCGCATTTAAAAGACTTTAATTCAAAATGAGGAAAAAAAAAAAGAAAAGGCAAAAGAAAAAAGTGATCATTTACTGATTAAATTAATGCAATCCATCTCAGTTGACAACAAAAGTAGACGGTAAATACAAATAGAGCTGGCCTCAAATGTCATGTTCAAGCTGTTGCAGCTTTAAGAGTGAGGAATCTATTAATGTGGAAGAAAAGAATTAAAGCGAGCAACGCGTTGTCACTAGAGAGGGCCAAAGTAGCCCGTTCTTAAAATCATTAATTACAGGATGTTGCAATTAAGTCAAAAAATATTTAATTAAAACAGTCAACTTTTCAATAAGACTATTTCTAAAAATTAGTTAAAAATATTTATTCAAAAAAAGTGCAAATTTAGCTTACATTGTAAATTATAAATCTAATTATTACATTTAAGATACTAAGAATCTTATATGTTTAATCTTTTAGGCGCGCGCGCGCATACATTTTAATAAGGAGTCAACTTGTTTGATTAAGCTGATCAACTATTAAACTAATATTTTAATTTATTTAATAAAATATTTTATTTATAATTAGTTACAATTCAGTTACAATTTTAATAATTAATATTTAAATTGATACTTTAATTGATTCAATAACTGTTTTAATTTTCAATACCTTGCTTTAGAACTTAATTATTACTCCTTTTATTGTAAATTATAAGAATGTTAGAGGAATTTTGTTGCCACAAAATATTAGAAATTTAATGAAAAACAAAATTTTATTAATGTGAAAAGAAAAGAAATAAAGTAAACGCAAAAGAATTAAAGCTAGCAACGTGTTGTCACTACAGAAGGCCACAATAGCCCGTTCTTGAAATTATTAGTTACAGGATGACGCAATTAAGTCTTAAAATATTTAATTAAAACAGTCAACTTTTGATAACATTTTTTTAAAAAAATTAGTTAAAAATATTCATTCAAAAAAATTTGCAAATTTAGCTTATATCGTAAATTATAAATATAAATATCACATTATAATTTAGATCCTTTAATTTGTGATTATATGAGTTGATATTTATATTTTATTTTTTTAAATATTTTGTTAAGAATGTTATTAATTTAATATTTTAAGCATATATAGAGTATGTAAATATGAGTCAACTTACTTAGTTGAATCAATAAATCATTAAACTTGTATTTTAAATAATTTAATAAAATATTTTATTTATGACTATTAATGGTTCAACTATAAATTTGATCATTAATATTTAAATTGATATTTTAATTGGTTCAATGATCGTTCTTATTTTCAATACCTTACCTTAGAACCTAATTATTACTCCCTCCCTTTCAAATCATAAGACAACATTAGAGAAATTTTATTGTCACAAAATATAAAAAAATTTGACAAAAATAAAATTTTATTAATAGATTTTTTTCAATAATATTTTTTGAGAAAAAGTTAAAATGATGGTTCATCATATTTTAGAGTTATATTAAATAAAAAATATGTTTTAAAATTTATATTTTTATTTTAAAAATATAAGTTTGTAGAGCATTATTATTAAACTTTATTATGTATAATATTATTTTATATTATCTTATAATTTAAAATGAGGGAATATTCTTTTAAGTTTTAGCTCTCCAAAAATGGAATACTCTTCATGATCTCCCCTGCAGACTCGAAATGCGTACCCAACCAAATGAACTTTTCCATTATTCTTTTGACCATTCCCTCCTCATCATATTCATTCATTTTACGCTCCCACCTATGCATAAGTATAACTACAATTTTTTTTGGCCAAAAAAAATGTATAATTATAATTTCATGAAAAAAAAGAAAGAAAGTATAACTTAACCCAGATTCACATAAACTGCTTTCATTTGAATATACTTTTAGCAGCCAATTAACTATCGCCACATACATGACTTACGTTAATCTATAGATATTGCAAAATATATATATATATATATATAAACATTCATTATATCGAACTAAGACTAGATAAATATATATACTGTAATAATTAATTACTTAACATACATCGGGTCCGAAACCCACAAACCCGCTAGCTCCATTCACTGAGATTTGGATCCCTTCTTGTTGAATGTTCCCTATGATCGAAAGCCTTGAAGGAGAAGGGGCAAACGCAAAACAGAAAGTCCCGACATTGTCAATGGGAATTAAGAAGTTTCGGGCTGGCAGCGTCAGGATCAGCCCACCCGTGAAATAGAAGGATACGGTTGGAACCCGAACCGACACAAACCCGTTCAAGTTATAACATGTGTCGAAAATAGATGCTCTGGATGCCCGGGGAAGGTTGGTGGTTTGAGCAATAAAAGCATCCCGGAATCCATTATATGCTGTGGCGGGAAGCCTCGTGACGGCCGTGCCGGTGTCCATGATGACGCCCCCATCACCTTGTTCTGTTAGTCGGAAAATATCTTCTGATATGGGTACTTGCAAGGCTCCGACTCCAAGACCCGAAAGCCCCACATAGTAGAAACTTGGGGCCTGTAGATTATGGACGAGAGGAACCCATGAAGCTCCAACCGGCATGGATTCTCGTCCGAATTGGATCGACCCTGATGATCCAGTGCCCCGACTTACTAAACAATAGCTAAATGCACCACCCGTTTGACCACCTAGCTGACCCACGAAAGACATGGACCCGCCTCCAAGACCTAACAACCCACCCGCTCCGACAAACATGCCTTGGTTCTTATGCCCGCACCCGATTGCCACGTTTTGGATCGTGGTCCGACCCATGGTGATGGTTTCCAGTGCGAGCGTCCCTTTGGTGTAGGACCCGTCACCGTATGACACCGCGTAGTGGCACCGACCTTCTTGACTACACCCTGCATATGCATTCTCCAGGCGGTTGCAGGCGATGGAGGAGCACGAGACTCCGGCAAAGGAGGCGGAATCAGCCGGGTTGAATACCGGGTCGGATTGGCGGAAACACTGGTCGCAGGGTTGACACTGGAGCCACATAACGTCACTCCCAGAGTCAATCACAACGTACTGACTTCTCGGAGGGCTTCCAACTCCAATTCTAGCGAAGTACTCACCACTTCCTTCTTCCATACCCGAAACAACATCCGACCCGAATGCCTCAGCCTCGTAACTGGGTTGTCCAGTCAGAGAAGCCACCCGTTTCACATCTCTTCTCATTCGATCAGTGAAACGCCGACCATGGTCTTGGTGATGCAAACTCATCATTTTGTCTCTGTGAATTAGCCTGAGCTTCCCAGGTTTTTGGTCCCTTGTAATCTCCGCCTGTCGGGTTAAGTTGATGATCAGTTTGGTTTCTTCAATGCTTTGTTTCACGTCAAGATGTTGGAAATGAGGGTGCGAGAGGACGACCCTGTGTGTTTTAGCTGTAGTAGTGGTTTCGATGGAAGTAGTTAAACTTTGAAGGAACAGCAGAAGCACCAGTACCTTCATCTCCATGATTTTATGTTTTCATCAGTTTCACCAATGTTGATGAGGGGGTTAGAGATCATCTAGTTATTTATATGGTCGTTGGCCTCCTGGAGAGAGGAATAATTGAATGACTTTCTATATGTTCTTTCCAAGATATTTTGTTTTTTATTTTTTTTGGCCTGAGACAAAATTTTAAGTTTACAATAAAGTAATGATTTAATGATTTATCAATATGCTTACACACGCATCAACCACTTTTATATTTATTTAATTATTTTATTGTATATACCTAAATATTGCTTCAGTTTAAAACCGAGGGATGGTTTATGGAAAGATATGTATAGTGGGGTTGGCACTCATGAATTGAAAGAAACTTTGCAAAGTATGCATGGCGTGTCGCGTTTTCACTTTATGCCTCGAGTGAGGACGTGTTTTGCCTCTACGTATCGCTTTAACTACTGTGCTTATTGCAACCAAAAGTGATGTTTTTCCTGGTTGTTTTACCAAGTCAACAATTCAGTATGTGAAATTATATAGTTAAAGCATAGGAAGAATGACAATAAAGCCCCAAAAAAATGAATTAATAACAATTATGAGGTCTGCAACAAAATTTTCTATAAAATGAATTGTAAATGTTATTTTAAATAGTTATAAACATTAATCCAAATTGCAAACTAATTGTTATATTTAAAATTTAAATATTGTATTTGCAATTAAAACTTTTAAATTTACAATAGTTTGAATTGATCGATATTTATGATTAAGTTTTTAAAAAAATTTATCAACGACGTAACTGTCATTATTCCTCCTTTGGAATTTAATTGTCATTCTTTTTAAAGTGTATGCTTGGTACCAACTAAATTTAATATAAGTGATAAAAGCTCTCGCCATTAAGTAAGTGGTTAGGAGTTCAAATTTCAACCCTCACATGGAAATCAATTTAGTTGGGAGAGGTGTACCATTTGCCTTCAATACCTTAGGTGAAATAATATCTGCTATTGGTGGAGTTTATTCCTCATACTATATAAAAGAAAAAAAGTTTATGTTTGGTGTTTAACTATAAGTTTTAAATTTGATCCCTTAATTTTAAAAAGTATATTTCAATCCTCTATCATAATATGCAAAAATTAAAGTATCACAATAATTAGTTCAAAAATTAGGTTAAAGTGTATTTTGCCCCTCAACTGTTCACTCAAAAGCATCTGATATTCTTAATTTACATGTGTTATAATTTTCTCTTTAATGTTTAAAAAAATGTGCACTTGACTATTGTCTCATATGTTTTGATTATTACAAAACTAAGGAAAGATGTATGTGTTATTTGTGTAGATATAAAAGATCTATGGATGAGACAAAACCTTCAAAAACTTGAAAAATCAAGAGAAGAAGAGATTTATAGGTTTAAGTTAGTTATTTTTCTCAGATTCAATGTGAAAACTTTGGGAGCTTAATCACATATTATCAATTTTAAAGTGAATGCATCATCTTAGGCTTATAAGTCTTATTTGTGTATCTTAGAACTTGTCTTAGTCTATTCAAACTTAGAAGTAATGTCATTCACACTTGAATTGGATAATATAAGTTAAACTTTAATTTTCACTGCATGACGTTTCACGTGTGAATCAAAATAGTTTCACTCATGATTTGTCATTTTAGGCACACTGGCTAATGTTTCACACTTGAATTAGAAGTAATCCACACATGATTTATCACCTTTGTTTGTGCGATGCCTTAACAAAGTTTTTGTGCTCCAAATCACACCTGAAACCTCTTTGTACGCATGTTTGAATTGTCATATTGTGTTCCATTGCATTTTGAGTAGTGACATTTCATGCCTGAAAGAGAAAGCTTTCACACCTATTTTGTCACTTGATCCCTTAAACACATTTAACTTAAGTAAGCCTTAAACCAATTCAAGCCTGTTTCGTACTGTGCACTTCTGTGATTTGTCACTTATAGAAATTAAGTCTTTTTATCATGCAATCCACACTTGAGTACAAATTGGTTCCACATGTGATCTATCTAATAGAATGGCTTAGTTTTGTAACTAGCCATTTAATGCCTGAGAGGAAGAGTATTCCATGCATGATTTGTCATCCAAAATGGCTTGGATTTTGTAACCAACCATTTCATGTGTAATAGTTAATTTGTTCCACTCATGATTTGTTGCCCAGTTTGGCTTTGGTATTCTAGCAGCCAATTCAAGCATAAGAGCTTGAAGGAACTACACCTAATTTGCCATATAGAATTATTTGCATCTTTTCTCCTTACAAAACACGTGAGAGTCACCTTAATATTCATGCTTGAATTGTCATATATGCTTGACTAAAACTTATCTAGCTCCATTTCAAGCATGAATCTGCTAGTTGCATGCAAGAAATGTCACCAATGGCTACATTCATTGTTCCAATAGTCTATACATTGCAAAACTATATATATATATGACACAATTCAAGTTTAGAACGAGGATTTTGATCTTTGAGTGAACTATCACATGTTTAAACATTCTTGAAGTCATTCTATTTGTGCATCAAAAGGTCTTGCATTCATTCATTTATTATTCTTGATAAATTATGAAAAAGCTTTCATTAGTTCTTAAGCTTCTATTGTATGTATTCTACTTTTTTCAGAGAGTTTATATTTTAGAGAATTTTTCTTGTGACTAGTTAAAACCAAGTTGAAATCTTGAAAAGAGATTTTTCAAGTGAATTATAATAACTTTCTAATTATAACAAGGTTTGTTAATTGAAACAAGACTAGTTAAGTCTTGTGAGTTGTACTGAGATTGTAAAGTACCCATTTAAACTTGTGACTATAATTGAAAATCTCAAGGCTGATACTAAGGACCAAATGTAGGCCAAGATTTGGGCTGAATCAGGATAAATCTTTGGTATCAAATCTTTACTCTTTACATCTCTCTTCCTCAATTCATACTTTTTCAGAAAAATTAAATGTCACCCAATTCATTTCGCTCTTGTAGCCTTATCCAACATTGACATCCATTGTTAAAAAAAAAGTTAATAATCATATAACTGATAAATCCAACGAAAATGATTATAGATTTTTTTTAATTTTTAAGTATCTAATTTGAAATATCTCATTTTTTAATGAGTTAATTGTTGTGGAATTTGTAAAAATCTAATTAGCCCCATTTGAATGATTATAAGCGTCAATTTTTTACAATGCTGCGATGTGTTTCTCCTTGAGTATGAATCATGTGATGAGTGATTTGTTTGCCTATCACTAATGGAAAAAGTTGGGTTAGCAAGGATTCGGTTTTTCTCTATATATGATTGTATTGCTGAGGAATTTTGCAAGAAAATTTAGGTTATGTTTGGATGGGTGGATTTGGGTTAGGAATTTGAATTTAAAATTTTATAATTGAAATCTCACATTTAAAATTCATATATTATAAATTCTTTGTTTAGATGATATATCAAATTTTAAATTATAATATTAAAATACGTTGTTTGGATCTTAAACAAAATTTTGAATTTCAACTTCCATGTTTGAATTTAAAGGCAACTTGAACTATGTCTTTAGTCAAAGTCCTATTTAAAATCGATGGTCCGGTCTCGATGAGAGGTGACGATTCGGTCTTGGTTGACTCTGGCTGTTCAAACCTGAACTACATCAGTGGTCTAATTTTGATAGGTAGCAGCAATTTAGTCTTGGCCAACATCAACAGTTTGATCCCAAACAATGTCTAAGGATTAGCATGAGATGATTACAGTAGTTTGAGGGTTGCAAATTGGACCTGGATGATGGCACCAAAACATTCCCTATTAATAGTGGTGTTTGGCGTTGGATAGATTGAAGACGGTGATCACATATTGGTCCCGGACGGTGATAGCGGGGACGAATTGAAATAGGTTGGATGCAACAAATTAGCACAGGATGGTGGTACCGGGTTGACACCACATGTTAGCATTGGACTGGCATTGAGTAATGATGGTGGCAGTAAACTAGCACGGGGTGGCCATCCAGTTCCAGTCAAAGCTGACAGTCTGATCTCAGCCAACACTAGCAATTTGGTCCAAGTCTACCTAGCCTATCTCATGTTGCTTTTTAACGTAAATGTTTTTTAATTTAATGCCGAATAAATTTTAGCCCATAATTTTACTATAACTAAGTACATATTTTAGCTAATAAATTGCTGCTCTTTGTCTCTCCATTTTCTCCCACGTGTTTTTAATGTAATTTTCAGATTTAGAACTAATATATCTGAGTTCAGCTGCAAGTGGTCATACCTTTGTCTTGTAAAACTACTGGTGGTTGAAGTCACTTTAACTAGGCCGTCTTCTCTGTTTACAACCACAAGTGGTTGAGCCCTATACTAGTTTTGATTGTGGATGGTCATGAACAAAGAGCACAGCCTTAGCCGGCGAGGCTTGATCGTAGGCAATGACACCCTTTTGGTGTCACTACTGTTGGCAATGGTAAACAAAATAACCACTTTTTCTCTAATTTATCACCAAACCTCAACTTATCCATTTTAAGTCCCAGGCAAAAATCATAATTAGATTCCTAATTATTTATCCATCTCAATAGACCTCAAATTGACTATAATAAACCTACCTAGCATAATTAACCCTAAACAGACTTACTTAGCATACGTAATCATACTTAGGAACAATTAAGCTTCTAAATTAAATTATTAGGATGTTGCATCATCGTCATCACCGAACAATCATTCCTTGTTACCGTCGCTAAACAGTCATTCCTCATCACAACTGTTTCTTCTTTTCCTTCTTCCCCGTCTTTAGATCCAAGTGAAGTGACCTATTCTGATATATATATATATATATATATATATATTATTGATCACGTGTCATTTGGCAGCATTTTATTTTTTTTCCTGTTCAATTTCTGAATTCAAGTGAGTTTTGTTGTTCATAACAAATACTTAGTCATTCAGGGTGAAGAGGAGGGTATCGCTGGATGAATTGATGGGGTGTAGTAGTAGTTTGAGCAGGGTTCGAATGCAGAGATCTTGTTCGCATGTTCAAGAAGCCATCAATTTAAAGAACGTAGAGGTACTTCTTTTGTGTTTTGTCTGAAGCTGTGAT